TTTTTTTTTTTGAGGACAGTCAAAGGGAATCTTGCTCATTAACTTCAAAGTTGCCTTAAAGTAATGTTTTCAACAGATAATACACTTGCTCACTGCCTTTCTCTGGCTATAGCCGTATATCTTTTTATAGGTATATATAAAATTAAATCCTGTACACCAGCAATTCTCTTGCTGTGGAACAGTTATAGTGAAATTTTAATAAGAAAACAGATTAAAGCTGTGAATTGTGAAGAATTGCCTGCCTTCTCCTTTATCTCTAATGATGAATGTTTCTGTGATGGCAATGATCGTGTCATTCTTGGATCTTCTGGTATCTAGGGGGTTGCCAAGTTCTAGAAATGATGCTAGTATTTACAGACAGAATAGAGAAAAGAAAGAAGGTGTTGGTCCATCTTACAGTCTTATGATAGTTTAGTTAAATGTGATAAGCACCTAAACCTTATTTATGCCATGAGATAAGTTTGATGTCTGTAGAGAAGAGTGCACCTCTTTTTCTATAAGCTCTTTTTCCAAAGGAGGGTGCTTGTATCTGAAGCGCATTGTTTTCCTGTCAATGATCATAGCTTGTAATGTTTGCAGAATCTCATGAGACCAAAAGCATCTAGCTGAGAGAATGGGGAGATGACATTTTACTGTCGATGGTTTAGTTACATAGAATTAGTCTCTTAAATGAAAGTGTTCATCAACATAAAAGTGGGATTTTATTAATCTGGTTATGCTTGGCTTGAAACTTAACCCAGAGTAGTAGCCTTGTCATACAGAGAAGGCTTGAGAATGCAGACACCATTCAGGTGCCTAACTCCAAACATGTTGCCAAGATCAAAGAGGACTTTCAAGAATGAAATCCTGAGGTATTAGAAGAATATTTCAGGGAAAGCAGGCTTCTTTCTTAGGAAAGTATTAATCTCAATAGAGGACAAAACCCACTGCAAACTACTGATTCAAATTTTTGTGCTGAACTAACTTCTTAGGCATCTTAAAATGCTTGGCTTGCTTTAATGAACTACGTGGTTGCTTTCTAGCATTCTAATTACCTTATTCAGCTCCATACCTGACTTCTGTATCCTCCACTACATGTGCTTGTTTCCAGAACCATTTTTGTCATGCTCTGGTCTAGGTCTTGCTGAAGTCTTAGTTACGTGTACTGCCTGGTCATCCACTTCATACTTTAAATTCACACACAATCATAGAATCGTATGTACAGGATAGTTCTTTTGAAAGCTACACTTCGACATAGATTAATGATCTAAATTGGATTTTAAAAAAATACGTAAACATCAATTTTGTGGTTCATCTGCAATTGCATGTTAAGTAGTGGGAAAAATTGTTTAAGGGAATATTGATGTCACTTTCTGTTACCAGTACTCAGTTACCCATAGTAAGCTGTTCGTCTGCTGAACTCAAAGTTCAAATAAAGTTGTTCTGCATCAATATTCTTGAGTAGTTCTAGAGGAGTATTATTGAAGTCCATTATTTCAAGGCTATACATAGCAGTGTCTAACAGTCGCTTTTTACTCACTATTTAAGTAACCTGAAATAACACCATCTTGTGCACAAGATTTCGTTTCATTACTCAACACCGACCTGGTCTATGGGAAACATTCCCACAAATATATTTTTGAGTAATTGGCATAAATAATTAAATTGCCATGGCAACTGGGCATGCAGCACAGTGTTGCAACAGAGTAATGGTGCGTAGAGGATTTAAACTGATCTGCTCTGTGAAATACCCTGTTTGTAAAATAATGGGGCACGTGTCCTCACCTGCTTTTTTAAAAATTTCAACATTAAAACCAAAGCCAACAAAACAGCCTCCCCCAGCAGTTGTAATGTTTTAGAAGAAATGACTGAAATCTAATGCTGGCTTATTTGCCAGTTTATATGTAAACCATCTTGGGAAATGGACTGAAGAGCATGATCTAAGATCAGTTAGGATTTTCCTTTAAAATGGCAGTAGCTGATTTTCTCATGCTAATCCTTGACTAGTGTAGCATGAACTCAGACTACTTCTATGCTAGCATATAGAGTTTTAAAAAAAGTCTTCCTGTTCTGTCTACTTAATTTGAGCACAAGCACAGGTAAAATTGGAAAGTCTGTAGCAGCAAACTGGGAAACCATTGACTGTGGTTGCTCAGCTATTTCAGTAGGCACATGGAAAAAATACTGTCTCAGTAGATACCTAAGCATGGCATGACTCGTGCTTTGTTTATCTTATTGGGGTATTATTTTTTAGAATTCATTCATCATTATTGATTTGCTTATTGCCAGATTTGTAGGATATGATCTCTGATTTTTTTTCCCTTTGCCTTTTAACCAAGTTATTTGCTTTTTTATAAACAAGCAAAACCCCCACCCTTCTGATTATCTAATACTATGTAAAATCACATGAACACAATAATGTCAAACGTGCTTAATTTTCAGCTTTTTTGTCTCTACACCCAGTGTGCTATTTTAGTATTTACATCCCTGCATTGCTTAAAATAAAAACTTAAAGCAATTCCTGAATTCTTAATGACTAATATCTTTTCAGAATCCTTACTCAGTGTATGCATTGCTCAGAGTAGTTGCTTGCTATGATTTAACTTTCAAATAGCATCAGGGAAAAAAAACGTACTGTATCCCTCTCAGTATATGTCTCTTTTCCTACCTACAGGATGTCCTTACTGTTCACTATCATCTGATACCATCACCATCAAAAAGTAAAAATGGCAGCAAAGACAAAGAAAGAGAACAGGAAAAAGAAAAAGACGTAAAAGAAGAATTTGCTGAAGCTTTAAGAGATCTAAAAATACAGTGGATGACCAAGTATGTCTGCTGTCATGACTACATAAGCGTGAAGCAGCTGTACACAAAAATATCCAGAAACTGTGCTTTCATGCTATGTCCTCCTCTCTTCTAGACTGGATACCGCTGATATGTATAATGAGTTGAAAGAAGCATTTCCTAATCATCTTCCATTGTACGTTGCAAGACTTCATCAGCTGGATTCTGAAAAGGTCATTTAATACATTTTAAGCTTGTTTGTCTCAGTACTTCTGTGTAGCCTAAACAAATGATCTTTCTTCATATATGTTTGGTCTTGAAGTGACTGTCAAAGCTGTAGTCTGTACTATAAAGCAGAAATTCCTAATTAGTTTGACAGCTGCCTCCCTAACTGTGGGATTTACTTAATCCCACAGCAAAATGAAACAGAGTATGCCTACCTGTAATGTGTCCACTTATCATTTACTACTTGTTAAATTAGGCACATTCTATGTTTCCTTACTGGTTTCAGCTGTAACAATATTATTCTAAATGGTGGTTACCGAGACAATCACATATCCCATTCTGCTTCCCTACTGGTTTGGTAATTTCTTCTAGCAGAATTGCTCAGTCCTCTGAGGACAGTAACCCCTTGAAATGACACAGTTAAATCTACCAACTGTCACTGTCCTCAAAAATTAGAACTGTGATTTCATAGTACTAAACACCTTTTTTTATTCTTCTAGGAACGAATGAAAAGACTTGATGAAATTGTTGAAGCTGCAAATACTGTAATCTCTCATATTGATCAGACAGCATTAGCAGTTTATTTTGCCATGAAGACTGATCCTAGGCCTGATGCAACTACTATAAAAAAGTACCTACCCAGTAAATAATTTTCTTGCATCCTATTTCTGTAATCTATGTACCATGTCTCTGCTTATAAGAAATGGAATGACTATAACCTTGTTGAATAACTTGTGCTATTTTTAGGGGTTCAGGTATTTCACTGCAAAATTATTTTGTTCTCTTATCTCTCTAGAATGCAGGAACACCGAAACCTGCACATTGTTAATTAGAAATAGTAAATAAACAAGGGTGCTTTCAGGATTTAAATGTCAGAAAAATGCGGTTTTGTGTTAAGCTCGAGCTTGATACAAGTTTAAGCTATTTTGTATCAAGCTTAATTTCAGATCAGAGGGGCCACTAGGACATCAGTCTAGAGGCATGTGTTTTGAGTGCTACCTGCCTTTTATAATACTTTGCAACCTTTTGGATCTGTATTTGAAGACAAATTTGACAGCAGTCTAAGAAGTGACATATTTGATTTGTGAAAAGCATGACAGCTATACTTGTGCTTCAAAGTATTTTTGAGGGCCATTGTTTAGGTTTAGATTGTTCCTGTGAATTACCAGCATATATACTTAGGGACAGTATTTTGAAGGTCACCTTAGTCTGGAGAATAACCAGTGGATTCTGAGCATGTGGCATGCTGCTGTTTTAGTCATGAATAGAGCAGCAGATTTGAAGATTAGGCCCTTAAAATGGGAGATACGTACTTGATGATTACTTCAGATAAAATACCAGATTTCAGTTCTAAAACTAGGCTGTCTATTCTAGCTATCCTGAATATTCATATATAATTCTAGAATTGCTGATATAAAAAGAAAGCTCAGACATAGTAAACTTCATTCTAATACCATTTCTTGGTAAACTGACCCATTAGGTCATGTGATTGAATCTAACATTCGAAATTGAACACCAAATTCAGTGGTGCTTTAGATGGGTGCAATTACTTTGAAGTCAACAGACTTGTATCTGCTTATATTAGTGGTGGATTTGACTCTCTCTGTTTATCATGCCAGAAACTATAAAGCTTGTATTTCTAGATGCTGGCTCATTCAGTTTTAGAATGCTAAGCTGCCCTTGCTTCATCAAAGGCATTTCAGACTTAGAAGAATCATTGAGCTTGTTTAATGCATAGTGTCTCTAATTTTTTTTGCAATTAGTTTATTTAAGTAGCTGTGCTTTAAAATATTTTTTTCTACTGATTTTCGTTTTGTGTGTACTGACTGCTGTAAATATTTTAGCTGAAGCTCAGTACAGCACTGATTCTGTTCTTAATGAGGTATCTGCAAAAAGACCTAATATTTTACATACCATTTTCTTCCAGTGAAATGGAAAAACAGAAGACTACTTTAGTGGATGCGCTTTGTCGAAAAGGAAGTGCTCTGGCTGACCAGCTTCTTCATCTGCAGGCCCAAGAAGGGGCTGCTTCCAGTGATGCAGAAGGCAAAGATGAGGATCATGAGAGCTGCTCAGAAGCTTTGACAGAGACATTCTGGGAAACAACAAAATGGACTGATCTTTTTGACAGCAAGGTAAGAGAGCAAAGCAGAATTTTTGGATTTTGCATGTTGAGTTTTTTGATGGTTCCTCCTGGAATTATGCACCGCCTTTGTGTGCACAGCTTCATACATTCCTCTCTTGTACTTTTTCATGCTGTTCCGTATATTGTGCTTCCTTAATGGCCTTTTTCCACAGAGGTTTTCCCAAGCCTGTCAAATCCATGGTAAGCCCATCTCCATGCATGTGAATGTAGAGGTTAAGGGAAGGGTGTAGAAAAGTACCAGACTTCCATGAAAATGCTGCTTGCTTTATTGAATTGCTTCTTTCTGTACCTTTCAGGGAATATTTTTGATTAACCTCTGTGCTGTTCTAGCTATACACATACAGAAGTGTGCAGCATCCCTACTCTGTCAGTCCTGCATTCTGTAACCTCTTCTACACTATGGACAAGAGAAGTTTTATGTTTTGCTGTCAGTAATGTTTGTAGAGGTAAAGGAGAAACCCTTGGAGATAATTACACTTACATATTTATTAGCACAGATTTCCCTGTCATTTCAAGATTCCTAATACTGAGATTTAAGTTTTCATCTGCTTCATTCAAGACAGTTACTCCAGAAGAATAAAACAATCCATTGTAGGTGATTAGTTATGTAGCATTTAATTTACAGAGTTTATTACTTTTTACATTTAACCGTTGCGTTATTGAGTACTAATTAGTTGCTGTACTTAACTCTCACATACAGCTCTGTTTTAGATGAAGCTGAAGTGACCAATATGTTTGTTTATAATTCAGTTAAATTGCCAAAGCACTTGATATAGTTACAAACAAAAAAATTTGAAATTAAAAAAACCTGCTTCATCTCCTCGGCAGTAAATAATCTTCCCAGTAAGAACTTGTGCTTTAGCTGGAGGCTTGAACAAAAAAGTTGTTGGTGGTTACCCTCACTTCTTTTAATGTATATTTTCTTGTACACCTACATCTTCTCAGCATATCTCTTCTAATCTTTACCTGATTATAATATCCTGTGGTAGCAGATTTTGTGCTTTAATCATGTTGTCAGGCACATGATTTTCTTCCTGTCTGTATTTGCAAGTACAGTACTGTGTTTCAGTATAGTGACCTGTTTCACTGCTTTTGATCTTCAAAGCTGATGGGGATAATTTCAGTGGAAAAACAGCCAACAGAGACATCTTTTTGGGAGTTTATCAGTCTGTTACAGGTTGTTTTTCTTCCAAGATTGTTATTGGTTCCTGGCACTCATGAGCTGTGGGCTCTAGGCCTGGAATGAGTAACTCTGACTTGAATTGCACAGGTTAGGGATTGAACCTGTCTCTTTGGCTGCCTTAACCATGGGTTTGTCTAAGTGCTCATTCAGTTTTTTCTCTGAAAATTGTCTCCTTATAATTGAATTGGTACTGAAAAGCCAACAAAACTTTTTAGATCCTTATAGCATTTCACATGGAAATAACTTCCATCCTGTTTACACAGTCTGCTTTTCTCTCTTGATTTTATGAGTCAAATTGACATGACTGTCATGAGCCCTACACAGTCGCTTTCTGTCTCCCCTGCAACAGGAAGGAGAACTGGAAACATAAAACTGTCTTTATCTCAAACCATGAGTTGTCTCAGTTTAATAGGTAAAGCAAAACCTGCATGCACAAGGAAAGCAAAAGTAGGGACTTCATTCACTGCTTCCCATCGGCAGGCAGAAGTTCAGCTATCTCCAGGACAGCAGGGCTCCATCACTTGTTAACAGTTCCTTGGGAAGTAGCTTTGCCTTAACTCTGAATCTCCCCTCTTCCTCCTTTCACATTTCTTTTATTACTGGGCATGATGTCTTATGGTATGGGATATCCCTTTGGTCCTGGCTGCATCCCCTCCCAACAACTTGTGCAACCCTAACCTGCTCATTAGTGGGGTGAGGAGCAAAAAAGGCCTTGATTCTGTGCAAGTGCTGCTCAGCAACAGCTAAAATATCCCTGTTATCAACACTGTTTTCAGCACAAATCCAAAACATAGATAGCCCCTTACCAGCTACAATAAAGAAAATTAACTATCCCAACCAAAACCAGTACAAATGTCTTGCTGACTTTAATGTGAGCTTCATTTCCTTCCAGATTGCCAACACCAAAACCTCCATCTGCCACAGATCTGTTCTTGGTGCCTATTTAGTTATGTGAGGCTGCCAGATCAAAAGGGAATGCTGCTAAGCTTTCTGCTGTTGTTAGCAGTGCAGGCCAGATGTGACCACACAGGACAAGGCTCTACTATGAGTTTCAGGCACCTCACCTCTCTCATGATACTGTTCAGTAATTCTAATCCCAGCAGTACCTAACTAAAAAAAAAGTTTGAAGGGAAAGAAATACATGCTGCTACTTAAAGCTTTCAGGTGGTTATTGGAACTGAGACTTTAATTGTTCACTTTTACACTTTGAGGTTTTCTTTTTCTGGAAACTCTTTGAAAGACATGAGGAGTGAGAATCATGCGGCTTGGGCCTTGATGGGTTTGAGAATTTTGCTTTGAAAGGAGATAGTAGAGCACTGTAATGATTTTTCTCTGATAACAGATTTGGAGAAAAGGGGTAGGGCAAAGGGAGTTACTTTCAAGTGGGGAAAAAAACTGTTTTGTTTTTGCTTTATTGCTTCCTAGAAGTTTCATGCTTGCTGTTGTTCATATTCTTTCAATTCCTTTACTAACAGATGTCATGTCCATCTAGTAGTTTTCTTAGGAGCCGACTGTAGTTAGCAATTACGCTATTCAGTTGTTTGAACTATGGTTTCCAGCCAATGACAGAATTTTCTTTGGTCATTCAAAATCATAAACGCACAGTGAAGATCCAGTTATGCTTTATTTAGCTTTAAGTGTCAATGACTAAGACTACATAATTATGATATAATAGCATAAATATGACACAAACTGTAAGAAAAATACAGTTATATTCCTCCTGGTTTTGTTGTGAACATGAGAATAGCTGTACACGTGTGGACTGTAAGTTTTCTTCAAACATTAACTCAATACTTTACAGTTCCTTCATTCCACCCACCTCTGCCAAACTGCACCTTACATTCAAGTTATCTATTCAGTATTCATTCATTTATATTTATAATGGCTGGCAAGTTTTTTAAGTGGGAAGGAGGAAGGGTAGAGTGGAGTAGTGTTACAGGATCTGGGATAGACCTCATGCGAATGTCCTTCAAATGAGTCCTCAAGAGGCAGCCAACTTACGCTAAAGCAGTATGTTGAAAATGAAAACGTGGAGCTCTTCCTGTGTGTGAACATGGTTTTGTGGCATTGGCACTTAAGAGATTGAGCAACTGGGTGAGAAAGGATGGAAATAAGGCACTTGAATACTGGACTGATCATTCAAGTATAGATGGCTTTAGATAGAAACATTGCTTTAAGTGTTTTTATTTCGAAGCTTCCTGTAAGTCTCAGGTCATCCAGATGTCAGTAGGTAAAAGTGAAGTAAATTTTTGAAAACAGAGACGTGGTTTTTTCTATGTTGTTTTTAAAGATGAATCAGAAACATCATCACTTTTCTGTGTATTTCTGCCCACCCTCTAGTAAACCAAGTATTGTCACTTGTTTCACCTCTCCTCTGCAGATGTAGCACCTATGTTGCCACAGGGCATTTGTTAGTTCTTTTGAATTGCTGGTTTTTCACTGAAATATCATGCTCATCTCCATATTGTTGCAAGCATGTAGGAAAGCTGCTGCAAACTTTTATAGTAAGTGCATTTGTTCCCACTTCCACCTATTCTAGTTAAAATAAATCTTCAGAGACAAGTGATCCAAGTGAAACATGAAGGAAAATATTTATGTCCCTTGCATACACAAAAGTGTTTCAAATAAACTCCAGTTGAGACAGCCTTATGCAGCAAGTATTTGTTTGATTATGCTAACACATTTGTGATAGTGCTTTAGGGGTTTTAGTAATGGAATATAAGATGTGCTATTTTTCTTATACCTAGAACATGGCTTTAAAATTTGTAGGCCCAAATCCCCAGGCTGAAACAGAACTGCTACAGGAAAGTAGCAGGATATCGCCTGTTTATTACTGGGAATGAGTCTCTGTAGCATTTAATGCCCCTCAACCTTTAAGTTAGCTGAAAAGCAAAAAGTCACATCTAAAAATAAGTTTAAAAACGAATAAAAGGCCCGAATCTTTCTGTCTTGTCTTTTAAACATCTTTAGCCTGGACTGTTTTACATATTGCTGTCTGCACTGTCAGATACAGCTGTGTCTTCCAGCTGATCATATTCGGTCACTGCCAAAATCTTGTTGCTGAATACTTGATACCCTTAACTCCCCTCCCTTTCTTGAAAATATTATGAGTCAATTTTTTATAGGAATATTGCTTTTATTTGTAGTAATCCAGTTGATAGAGCAGAGAGAAGTCAACAACCGTAGCTAAGAAACCTTAGTTTATTACCATAGATGTATTAATAATTTCCTGGTACTAGTATTTTAATTACTTGTAAATGTAGATGTATTTTGATCAATGTTGAAATAATAAAGTAACTGATTATACAATCTTGTTTTCCTCTCGATAGGTAACAGGACTGGGATCTAGAAAAGTTTTATTAGGTAGTTTAGCATTGCTGGATTCAAAGTGTTCTTTATTTAGAAAGCATTTTCAGGCTTTTGAATACTTTAGCCCGGCAAATGTATGAGGAGAGATGATTTCAGCATTTTACTGTCCTAAATATGCATCTTTCTGTAGCCAATGGTGAGTTAAGCAGCTATGTAGGAGATGGACATCCAACCACTTCCATGGATCTGGCTCTTCACATACTTAGCATTGCAGGCCATTAGCTTGGGGTATAGAATATCTGTCAGTGATTCCTGCCACCCCACCAGTATCCTCAAAGTACACATTGCCTTTTCTTACAACCCTTTGTTTATCACTCTTTGGCCAATTTCTGGGCCATATCACTTGTCCTGTAAAAGCTAGTATTAATTGTATTTGTTGAAATTAGGAAATAATACCAAATACTTAAAAGTCATTCCCATTGTTTCATCTAGCTTTTAGATACTACAGACTGTTGTACTTGCTGTTGCTATACATTCAAATAGCAGCTGTTTTCTTGGTTACATCTTAATAGCACTACAGTTTACATTTTGTTTACATGTATCAAGGAATCATAATCTTCACTTCTGTGATCTTTTAAAGCTTGCAATATTTTAATTTAAGGCTTAATTTGACCAATATGTGTATAAGATATAAAGTATTATTTCTTACCTAACATTTTTTGTTTGTAAACCTATTCTGATATTAAGCATCTCATGCATTATTTTTAACTTCTGAAGTGCTAATGAAATTTTAGTAGTTTTACTTAATGTGTATGCAGTGGATTGTTGGGGGTTTTTTTTCCAAGCACTAAGACAGAAATTGTTGTCTTTTATCAAGAGCTCTTGGAACATTGTTTTCAACCTTTTGGTCCAGCAGAGAACTTTTCTCTCATTTAGAAATACCCAGACTTTTATTTGGCCAGAGCAAGGGTGTTTCGTAAAATGCTTTGTTTTCTTGCCACAAAAACTCTAGGAAGCCCTGTTACGAAAGAAATGCTGTCAAGTGGCTTTCCTCCTGCCTTTATCACTGATGTTCAATAACCATTCAAAACTTACAGGGTCAGGTAAGAGCTTTCTTAATAGAGCAGTGACATTATTTCTGGATAGCCTCCAATATGTTATATTTGCTGAGAGCTCAAGTGCATTTTTCATTTTACTTTTTTTTATTTGTTATGTTTTTGTTTTGTGGTTCTATCATCTTTTACAGAAGGGAATTATTATTTTCTTTATAAGCTTAGTTTAACAAACCGAAGCTGCTTATGGATCCACTGAGCAGTTATTCAAAAGTGTTTGCTAATGTGTTTTGCTTTAAGAAAATATCCAAAATAATTGGATGGAGAATGCAGCATGCAAACTACTTTTCCAATAGCAATAGTTGGAAAATCTCTATGTGAGTGGTGCTGTATGCTCATTGTTGCATATATGTGTGTTTTAAGCTACGACACCTTAAGTGTGAACACCTCAACACAACAAAAAACGTACTTGAAGACATAAGAAGAATGAGCAACTCAAAGTGCTCGGCATATACTTCAGAGCTTCAGAATTACACCTTTACTTGCTTGATAATTAAGGTTGTAATTTCCTTTTTTTTTTTTTTTTTTCCTTTCTCTTTTTTAGCTCAGTCTTTTAAGTATTGATCCTGCAAAGCCTTCTGCATGTGATTAACATTCAATGGCAGTGTTCAGGCAGATAAAAGTAGGCAGGTTCTTCAAGCCTTGCAGGATTCAGACCTCAGATTTCTTAATGTTTTAGATTCTTATGATAATTTTTTTTATTTTGATTTAGTGCAAAATATTTATTTCTGAACATCCTTGAAGTGTGTTTGTTAGCTTTTCTTAAAGGGATATTTTAAGTGGGCATGGGAAAATGGAACTTTTGAGGTGTCAAAGGCAAGGAAAAATGATATAATGAGTGAGGGGAAATGAGTAGCAAACTAATATGAGATTTCATACACTTTGCCAACAACATCAACACCACCATATGAGCCAACTTTGCTGGTATGGCACTCTTCAGTAAAAAAAATAAAAAAAACCCTATTTACTGTGAGTGTTTGTCCTGGTTTCGGACAGTGGAACATGACAGTGTACCAAAGGGAATATATGAAGCCATGTCTTGATTGCACTAATTCTTAGTGCTGTAGCTGATGAAGTGTTATGAACCGTCTTGCAACACCCTGAATGCTGTTGGTGTTTGGGTGTTAAGAACCTGATTTATTTTATGTTAGGTCTTAAATAGACACATTTATTTGCACGTGTTATTTATAGCATTGATGAATATTGTAAGCTATCTCTAGAATTAATGTTATCAAAAGGAAGCTTTTTTCATAATCTTTTCTTAAAAAATTACCAGTAGTGAGGAGCTGACCCCAAACCTGGGGCTTGTCTTCATGCTTACCTGTCTTCATTGCTTGCTTATAGTTATGTGCATTTCTGTGTGTATGTGTATCATTCACTATGTACATTCGTACTTGTTTCTACAGTAGTTTGTGACTTACTAGGAATCAAATTCTCAGCTGGGTCTTTGTTTCTGTGAGTCAAAGATACACCTGCCTGGTTCTTGATATTTTCTTTTTTTCTTTAATGCCTTATAGTTGCATCTAGAGAATGAAAATCCAAAGAAGGTAGAAATATGATGAATAAAGACTTAGAATAGTGACATCTGTGTTACATAAGATGTTCTGAAGTCAAATATGTTCATGAAGTCAGAAATAGTCTCTAGAAAGTTCATGTTTATAATTACTACTGTGAATCATCTGTTTTACTGCAAAGAAAAATGCAAACTATCTTGTGTAAACGTTGTACTTTGTTTAAATCACTTCTGCTACCTGAACAAAATCTACTATTACTTGTTAAGCCTGCTAAGATTAAAATATTAAAATATCTGATTTATTTTTGTTTTCATATTGTAGGTTTTGACTTTTGCCTATAAACATGCATTGGTAAATAAAATGTATGGGAGAGGTCTCAAGTTTGCCACAAAACTTGCAGAAGAGAAGCCAACAAAGGACAACTTGAAAAACTGCATCCAGGTAAGGTGTATTTGTTAAAGTAATGCACTATGTTTGTGCTGAGTAAGCTTTTAAAGGTAAGATACAAGTCTTTTTGAATTGTTGATACATTGTAGAACTCACTAAATATAGCTTTAAATTTTAACTTTATCCAGGCTTTTGTGGCTTGGCCTCCATTTTTAATAGTGATTTTTTTCTTTCTCTGGAATAGCTTATTTTGTGAGTAACTGTCATTTTTAGCAGATTCACATTCTCAAACCTGGTTTGGGACATTAAGACAGTAGAGACAACTTAGCTGAAGATTCTCTGCGTATTTAAAATCCCATTATGTTGTTGTTTAACCACTGGTATTTTTACTACTATTAATCACAATTATTGCTAGTAGAACATAGGTGGCAAATTAATGGGAATTACTGTAATTCTTAGTTACAAAATTTTAGTGCGTTGAGTTGAAAGACTGTAGATCATATGGAATGGTTTTCCCCTTTCAGGAGCAAGTAAGTAAAAGATCACCAGTTCTCCAGTCTGCTAGCTTTCTGATAATAGACATCTTTAGTGAGATATTGATTTCAATGCAGTGTTTGATTTTTTATTTTTTTTTTTTTTAAAGAATAAGACCCTAGAGCTTCTCATTGTTTTTATCTTTGCTTTTTTTTCTTCAGCTCATGAAGTTGCTTGGATGGACTCATTGTGCAACTTTCACTGAGAACTGGCTTCCTGTCATGTATCCACCTGATTATTGTGTATTCTAGAAAACCAACAATTGTAAACTTAGAGTGATTTTATATGGGTCAGGATATTAAAAGATAAGTTTGACTTTTTATTGGAACGCATGTTTTCATTACTGAATGCTGATTATTAAATTGTGTGTATTTATCAGTAAAGGCACCTGGGTACAGCTTAATACCGGTTAACCTAACTCCTGTCATCAGGAAGTTTCCTTATTGTGCATCCCATTGCTGGCAATGGTCATGCCAGAACTGCCAACACTTAAGGATTTGGAATTAGGCTGGAAAGTCTTACTGCATGCATGTTAGGTTCTTAACTGTTAGTTTTAACTTCAAACCTGCAAAAGCTCTGTATTTTTTACAGTAAACTGAATTTTAACATGTTTGATCTTAATTTCAATTGTATGAAGGCCTTAAAGCTACTTCAAGAGTAGCTAAAATCTTATTTATTAGACTAAAGTAATGGGACATCGTTACCTGGATTGTTTGCAAGAGTTTACATTTAATTTTTTTTTTAAGAAAAATTCAACCTCTCAAACTGTTACAGTGTGTAACTTGGAATTGCTGACGCATAGGTGCTCTTGTAAATCTTCATTTTGGAGTGATTTCAGGCAAGCTCAAAAGTCCACATGAAGCAGGGTATCAGGGCAGGCTGATACATGTATAAAAGTGCCAGACAGTTAAATCTCAATCAGGTATTGTAAAGCTATACATATATGTTTAATAATGTTTAAAATGTAAACCACAGCAGAATAAATGTGCAAAGCTGAAGATCAAAAAACACCATGTGCACTCTGATACTTTAAAAGATTATTTTATAATTAATAAAAACAAATTATAAAGCTAAAAATTGCATTGGTTTCTGAAAGAGTACATAAATGAAACTTGCTGAAAGAAAACACCTTACAAACAACAAAAGTTCAGTGCATCCCAGAGGATCAATGCTTTTTCTTAAAGACATTTTACTAACAGTTGCTACTAACATTGTTCCTTCAGTGGAGTGAAATTGGTCTGTTTGGACAGGTCACATGTATCAACCAGAGACAAACTGCTTTATCATTTGTCTTGCCAGTTTTTTCATAACTTAAAATGCAACACTTGGATACAATTGCACCTTTACAAACATAAATACAGAGAAGGTGCACGCTAATGCTGCAAAGCATTCCAAACTGTAAGGTGCTGACACTAAATCAAACTTAGTAGTTTTCTGTTTAATTTTCTCTTACTGTAACTTTAAGCAGCTTGACATCTGATTCTGGAAATTCTGCTAGGATCATTGTGTTAAATATATTGCCAAGTTTTTCCAGAAATTCATAGTCTGCAGTGAATCTGAATTTATTTGCCCATAGTAATACTGTTCCTGGCTTACAAAAATACACCATTGTTGCTAGCAGGGGTTCCAAAGCTGCGTGATTATATACAACATCACTTGCCAGTATGAAATCATAATGGTAAGTTGACAGAGGAAAGTCTTCATTGAGGCCTTCTCCCCATACCAGTTTTCTCACTTCAGGTTTGTGCATATTCATGTTTTGTGTGTTTTTTGAAATATTGTATGAGAGATTATCAAGAACTTCAGGCAAATCAGTAGCTGTAACGTAAGCTCCTGAAGAAAACATGAATTTATTTCAATTCATAGGTACGTAGTTGAACATAAACATATATAAAACTTTATCTGCATAACTTCCCCAGCTTCCCCCTCACCAATAATTAGGGTAGTTTCTTTCTTAACAAAAGTGTTTTACAATACTTTTCATTTTTAAAAAAGCAGTGACAAACAAAGTTTACTTAAACTGTTGCTTTATTGCGTTAAAGTGACAGTGCCAGATCTAGATCATCTATCACAAGAAATGCAAAAGAAAATACAAATTTACTAACCTAAGATACAGGCCACAATGGAAACCAAGCCTGTTCCAGCACCAATTTCCAAAACTTTTTTGTCTTTGAGGTTGAATTGTTCTTGATTTGATTCCAGATACTGAGATAAAGCCAGTGCCTAAAACAGTTAACACATATCCATACAAGGGTAACAGGTAAGTTGCACAGAAATTCAGTAGATATTTTTATACAGGATTTGTTGGTTTGGTTTGCTTTTTTTATATACAGTGAAAAACACTGAAGGCTGTAACATAAAAGTGTAATACAGGAAGAATTATGATGTGTCCTGGGTTTTTTATATTAAAAAAAAATGTAAACAGCTTATTTTTAGTTCTAGGTTTATGGAATATGGACTTGCTACACACATCTATACACTGTGGGTCCTCTCACAGCTTAAGGTAGGCAGTGTTTAGATGAGAACCATGCAGTCAGAACAGCAAATGAGGTTCAACAATATCTAAAATGTAATGTCCTGGTTTATTATCATAAATGTTACGGTTTATTATCACTATGATAAAGTAGATTCATGCTTCAGCAGAGATTTTTTTTTTTTAGAACAATTTTTTTTTTTGTTTTGCAAAGGAAATACTAAAAATTTGTTATTTACCAACTCAACACTTGTCTCTTGATAATGGTATAAGCTTTAAAAAAAAAAAAACAAACACCAAAAACCAGCACTGTATGTCAGTATTGCTTATCAGACCTTTGTAAAAATCTTATCAATAGAATATTAATTGGCTTTTTATAAACAGCATAAATCAAGGCCAAAGAAACTACCTTCCCCCTTTGCTTCTCTTCCTTAGAGTTGTGTTACTGTTTTAACTCTTGTGCTTTTCATAATGCAACACTGGCTACCTGTTCTTGGAAAGCTGACAGCTAATGAATCACCAGTCCACTTCGTGCAACCTCTCGGTTTTCTTGGAAAGTTTTACCATTTGCATTCTGACACCTGATAAATGTGAGAACTGATGATCTGACATTTCAAAATAAGATACTGTTTCACTCACCCATACGCTTTCTTTTTCTCTATCGTTTTGAAATTGTCTGCCATTTTCTGTGAGCTTTTTCAATAAATGTGGATCTGTAAAATTTTAAAATCCTAATTTTCATGTCTTTATCAGTTGACCCTCTTTTCCCCCAAAGGCAGTCTTCTCAGTTCACATAAAATTCTGGTTTTAAGAGCAGGAGAAGCAAAGACTGAAGAACTGTTTGCAAGTATGGTTTTCCATGCTGCAATGGAACTGTTCCAGCCTGCTCTTTAAAAGAAGCATATTAAATTTTTTTAACCTCCTTTATTTAATCTCCCAGGGTTTTTTTTTCAGCTTCCTGTTTGTACTGCTGATTGTTTACTTCCCAGCAGTGAATTGGAAACATGGAGAAAGCTGAACACTTCTTCCCAAGTTCCCTTTCTTAATTTTTTTTTTTTTTCAGTATCTGCATCCAGTTGCAGATGCCACAGTATTTTTGGCATGAACTGGCAAATTAGCATAAGGCAGAGCCTTCTGCTGAAGTTTTTCACAGCTTTGTTCTGCATAGGGAAACCTCTGCTGTCCAAAGTGTCCTCTAAGAAAGCTTCCTTAATGTTTGTGTGCCACTGTCGTGGTCTGTTTGTCTGTTGTGTCAGCTTTCTGGGTTCTGTGTCATGTACTTACCCCCGGCCATACCACAGCTCCAAAGTGTTCTATAGACTCCTGAATGACGATCTGGTGGCCAACGTATGTGTAATACTCTTTATCGAAGTAGTGCGAAACTCTAGGAGCCCAGCTCTGTAGTATTTTAAGAGTTACTGGTGAATCTATGAGAGAAAAGATGAAATCTGTGTTGTTACATGCACGTTTTGGTATGAAGCTCATTAAAGGTAAACATATTTTGCAAAAATAGTATGTAGGCATATGGGCCATTGGCTTTGAGACTGGTTGTTGCCCAGAAGTGGATGGTCTGTCTGGCCAGGGACTGCAAGGAAAAATGGTCGTTTCCTGCCATTCTGAGTGTTTGAGCAGGCAATTTACACGTAGAAATGAGGCTTTTAGAAAAGATCTACTGATTCAAATATATAAATCTGCTAATAACCTCTAAAAGACTTTCAGGACCAAATTAGCCTGTATTTTGGGGTGTGCCATAGTTCATACTATGCCAGAGTATGCCATGCAGGGATTTGTGCTGTAGTTTTCATCTGTGGGGCCAACAGCTCTAGAACATGAAGTTTATTTTGTAAAAATGAATTAGGATTTACCTCTTCCATTGAAAAAAAATTAGCTCCTTTTTGTGGTTAAAGAACTATTCTTCCACAAAAGTAGGGCTGTAAGATACTCCAAGTATACATTTACATATACAGTGCTGTTCAAGTCAGTACTACAGTAGTGCTATTGCTACTGTCTTATTGCACCAAATAGGCTTGTAGATGAGATTTTTCAGGGGAGCCCTGCTGAGCTGCTCTGTTTGATCTAACTGAAAACAAGGACACTGTTCTGAATGACTGTACTGTTGGCAGAAGCCTATTAGGGTATGCACAGATGATTAACTTCAAAGAAACCTTTTGCTCTGGCTTGCATAGATTTTACTTGATGCCTGCCTGGAGTTCTTGGTTGTTTGAGCAGTTTAGCCTGTTGGAATGTGTAATACCACAGCTTCAACAGTGACAGCCCAATTAATGCATGTTATCAATAATATCTGTGTAATTGAGAAATAATTCTCAGATGTCTAAAATCCAGAGACCTTTTTAAGCATCCATCTTAATTATGGAGGTAGCCCTTTTTGTAGATTTGGTCTGATAATAAATACAAACAGATACAAATAAGGGGAAATGGTGGGGAAAAAGGATAGAGATCAAAAGGAAGACTGACATGGTGACATCTACTGTTTGAAAACAGAAAAATTAAAGTATGAAATGCTAGCATGCCACAGCAATTGCAGTATTTAAACTGGATTAAACCTGAGTGAGATTCTGCTGTTGATGAAGCATGGGTGGAGCTGCACGTGCAGTTTTCAGAGCCACACTGCTGTTCACAGGTTTTGTCTTCCTCAGTTGGGCATTCCATTACTGGTTGAATTTTGCTGGGGAACGGTGGCTGCTGTGCAGATATCATGGCAAGAATGCTGAAATGAAACGGAGAAAATAATGTGTGAGAGCTTGCAGGCACTCTCTTTATGAGGTATAACTGGAAGCAGACAGTGAGTACTTTGGGTGGGCTTTGGTTTGGGGTTTTTTGTCAGTGATGGGTGGAAGAGACAGGAAGCCACGATGAGAGGTGACATCCCCACTCCACTGGAATTTGCTGCGAGCACTTTCTGTAAGGTAGTAGTACTGTCAGAGTTACTATTTTATGATGTTTATCATGTTTGTTTTACCATTTATGCAAAATCTTAGCATTATGTCACCAAATTGATGACACTAATCAGTCTGAAACATCGGCTACTTGCATGGTACTCCTATCAGTTGAAGCAATAGCTAAGAAATATGAGCTGTCTTTTAATGCCCGTGACTTTATATGTGTGATTTACCATTTCT